AATTTTTATTAATCACTACCTCTTTAACTAAAAAAAACAGCAACTCCAAATCAATTCAAAAGCAACATGCATTCTCTGTCTGACAAGAATGAAGTGGATCTCTTTTCAATCTGACTAAGAAATAGCATGCTGGTATCTTTCTTCCCCCTCTTGCTTAAATATTATCTAAGACGGCAGAATCATTTCAAACACATTAGCAGACCCCCTCTGTGGTCTTTGTGGAGTATTTCTAAAGGTGGAGGTGTCTTTGTCCTGTTGAACGCTTTCAGCCTTTCATTATTTTTACTTAAAAAAAATAAATTAGCATGCAGTTTTAGACTACAGGGCAAATTCCCTGCTGGTTTCATATATTTGTAGTCTGTTTACATTCCCTTTTCCCTTTTCAAGACCTTCTGTAAATTTTCCACTTGTCCCTTTTGGGCCAGGAACAGCTGCTCCCCTCTATGACTGGTTTGACATAAGGTATATAACTTGTAACTGTGGTTTTGACTGCAGCAGTACTATTTACCATCAAAAGGATTATTTGGCCATAATTGCTTAATGAAGATCAGTACTAACATACTATTCTCATTGGGACAGTAAGCTGACAAAATATTAATTGCGTGTCGAGGTCTCCCAAGCCACCCCTAAATAATTCACAATTCACACATAATTTTTGTTTAAGGTTTTTGGCATAATTTTGGCCACAACTTTATTAAAATACATAAATGTGAGTGGTTGCTTAGGCTGGTTATGACTCTCTGTCCCCACGCCCAGGGACAGAACTGACTTCTGGATTCTAGCGAAAGCCAGTAAGGGAAAACAATATTGGGGAGAGCATGGAGCCGGGCACCAGACCCTCATCCCCCCCCCCCGCATGCTCCCGGGGGCTTGCGCGGCCCCAAGCCCCATTCAGGGGTACGGACGAAAGAATGGCAAGCCCCTGGATTCCTTTAACGGAATTCCCTTTCCGCAGCAGCATTGGAGGGGCAAGCACTTACCCCTCCACCAACCAATTTTTTAACCAATGCCTAACTGCAACCTTACAAGTTGTGACGATTTGCTACGCAGTAGGCAAAAACCAAATGGCCCCAGCCAATCAGCCAAATGGACAAAATTCCTACCAGGCCCCTGCCCCAAAAGCAGACGACCCCATGACAGGCATAGCAAGGTCAACGCAATAGCCCTAGATTAGGGAGGGTGGGAGGGTGATCCGATGCCCGCAGCAAAAGAGCCCAGTCAGTGCTGCGTGACTTGATTTTTTAACCTTTGGTCCGTCCCCCTAAATGGCAACACCAAAATTTGCCCAGTAACCCAACCGCCCAATCACTGCGGATGGTCATCCATACTAACCCCCAGCAACAGAGGGGTGGCCTGTCAGACCCCACTGCAACACATGCTCTCTATGAAGGAGAACACGCTTTGTAGGATTGTGGCTTTAGACACATGAGCTCATGAGTGTTGATGAGACCTCCGCCCCTTTTTTTTTTTAAAAAAAAAGCCCCATTCTGTGCCCTATAAGCACAGGATGCCTTTGCCTGGCGGCACTATGGCCCATAGGTAAAGGTAAAGGGACCCCTGACCATTAGGTCCAGTCGTGGCCGACTCTGGGGTTGCGGCGCTCATCTCGCATTATTGGCCGAGGGAGCTGGCGTACAGCTTCCGGGTCATGTGGCCAGCATGACTAAGCCGCTTTTGGTGAACCAGAGCAGCACACGGAAACGCCATTTACCTTCCCACTGGAACGGTACCTATTTATCTACTTGCACTTTGACGTGCTTTTGAACTGCTAGGTTGGCAGGAGCAGGGACCGAGCAACGGGAGCTCACCCCGTCGTGGGGATTCAAACTGCCGACCTTCTGATCGGCAAGCCCTAGGCTCTGTGGTTTAACCCACAGTGTCACCCGCGTCCCTACTATGGCTCATAAAGGTAAAGGTACCCCTGCCCGTACGGGCCAGTCGTGTCCGACTCTAGGGTTGTGCGCCCATCTCACTTAAGAGGCCGGGGGCTAGCACTGTCCAAGGACACTTCCGGGTTACGTGGCCAGCGTGATAAGCTGCATCTGGCGAGCCAGCGCAGCACACGGAAACGCCGTTTGCCTTCCCGCTAGTAAGCGGTCCCTATTTATCTACTTGCACCCGGGGGTGCTTTTGAACTGCTAGGTTGGCAGGCGCTGGGACCGAGCAGCGGGAGCGCACCCCGCCGTGGGGATTCGAACCGCCGACCTTTCGATCGGCAAGCCCTAGGCGCTGAGGCTTTTACCCACAGCGCCACCCGCGTCCCTGAATATGGAGACCTACTGATTAGCATATGCATAGACTTGCAGTTGTCTCCTTTTCATGTGATTTAAATACCCATGTGACTTAATCATTAACTGTTAGGTTCTCTTCTCAGCTCTACTTTAAGCTTCAGTGGAAATTTTCATGTCATGGTTCACAATATATATACACACAGACACATTACAGAGTTATTTTCCATTTCAATGTACATTAAACAATTATAATTAACACAATGGAGCATTCCAAAGGCAAACTAGGAGCTATTAGGAATAGGGATGGGGGGGGGGGATTCAATTAAAGGTGAACTTGCCTCATTCCCCCTTTCTGAAACAATGCAAGAATGAAATGCAGCCTCCCTTTGAAGTCTTCATTTCCCCAGCCAAGTAATGTTACCAAAAATTTGTATATCAGGGCAGTGCCAGGCACTTTCACTCCATCCTAAACCCTTATACAGTAGCCATTGAAAATCAGTGGGGCTATTTATTTTATTTATTTATTTATTGTATTTCTGTTTTGCCATTCTCCCAAGTTGGGATTCAAGGTGGCTTACAGCATTTTAAATGCATCACTATAAGAGACAAAGAAAGAAAAAATGAAATCATTAAAAATGGTAAAGTGCAATAAACCACATTTAGGACCAACTTTAAAATGCCAATTGCCCTGATATCAGCCCTGTGGTCAACATTGTCCGCAGCTAGTTTCCATATATTATTTAGTCAAGGCTAACTTAAATTCATTTCAGTGGGACATATGGATGCCTTAGTTTGGATTCAGCCTGTTGGGTTTTAGTTTATTTAGTCAGTGCTGATTTACTGATATAAAATGAACACATATACAGTTACTGCTATAAAACTGGAGTATACTATTCGCTGCTTATAGTCACTTTCCTCACATTATCTCTCATATATATATATATATATATATTTGCTTTCGTAGATTTTCACGGGTACAGGAATGCAGGTTTTGGTGTCCTCGGGTATATATATATATATATCCTCGGGTATATATATATATATATATATAGCCCTGTAAAACTGGGTAATCTGCCCCCAAGTTAAGGCAGTCTTATAGAAAATAATGTAATTCTTCAAAGATAAAAGTTTACTAAGTTATGATCCTCTAAACGCTTTCTGTAAAATTATAGCAAAATAGTGTTCTGGCAACATGTTTTTGAACCAACTGTAGATCTTGCACATGTTTCTGATATGTAGCAGTCTGATGGCATACATAACGATTTATTTTTATTTTTATTAGTATATGTACCAGGAAGTTCACCACATAAGAATAAAGCTGTACAATTAAACCCAAAAGCAGTAAATAATGATGTCACTGTGGTTTTAAGTCTGCATGGATAGTGAGAAGTGCTGGTAATTTATTTGAAGTTCACTTATTTTTTTTACATTGAGGTATCTTATTTACAGTTACTTGGCACAGTTTTTATAACAAAATAATTTGTCCTAGCCATAAATAATCCTAGTTTTCAAGGTGTTATAAAACCAGTGGAGATAAGCAGGGAATTGCCATTATTGTAATGTTGCTATTGTTTGTGTAGTTATTGTTATTTTCTCTCTCCTTGTAATCACTTCAGTGACCTCCCTTCCTCCCCATCCCTTGTTTTAGCAAAGTGATGGCAATTGATTGGGGAGGCAGTATGGGTGCAAAAGTTAAAATTCTGCATTAATTTGGTGAAAACACAGTCTTAAGCCCACAGTCCCAGCACCGAGAAATATAAATTTAAGGGCTTGGTTCTGAGATAGTGAAATATAAAACAGAAAATATACAGTATTAACTGCGCTGAAGGGACTGGTATGTATGTAATCTATCTTTCTTCAGTACAAAAAAATAAGATGGCTCTGTCCATGATGCTCTAAAATAAAAACACATCTAGCTTTTTACCTTTTCTTTTGTCAAAACGAATATGAAAACTTATTTTAAGCACCCTTTCATAGGTTGTACAATCAAATGCTGCAAGTGAGGAAATCGTTTTGGAAGTATAACAATGTTGGCAAGTAAGGTTGGCTGGCTGGCTCAAATCATCTGGTACCCTAAGCACATTCCATGGAAGCAATATAAGTGGGTTTACGCTGCTAATACGCAGACCATTATCTCAAGTTTGCTTTTAAGATTTCTCCTGGGATGTTTAAGTCAGTTCGCTCTAGTTTGCCATTAGGCACTTCCTTGGGAGCTTAGCAGAGGCAAGTCACTTTCACCTATTGTTTGCAATTAGATCTAGTCCAGCATGCTCTGGGGATGCAAAGGGTCAGTTGCATGAGTGTACATTGGTTTTACCTTTGTGTGCAGAATTCCCCGAAGGCTTCTACGGGTAAATGTGAACGCAGCGCTAAACTTTACAGTACAATGAGAAACGAAAATACAACCAAAGAGAACTGGGAAAAAATAATGCATCTCGATAGAACGATTAAATAAATCTTTGTCTAAAGGCTATGAAATTCTGAAAAACCAAGTCATTGAAACATACAAGTACATAATGGTTGAATACAACATTGTATAAGTGACTGGTGCTGTAGGGAGCAGACGAGGAAGGGGGAAAGTCTCATTGCATGAGCTGGCAAACAGGCACAAATAGCTACCATCCTCTTGTCCTAAATCTTAGATAAAAGCATAAAGAAGCAGCATATTTCCTAGTTATTAGCAGCAGGACCTTGTTTTTTGGAAAATAACCACAATTTTTTTTGAATGCTAACCGATGTCCTTTTTTTTAATGTGTCTGTTTTGTTTAGCTGAATGTGGAGCAAGTGTGTCTGGGAATGAAGGAACACTGCTGTCCCCAAATTTTCCATCTAACTATGACAACAACCATGAATGCATTTATAAAATTGAAACTGAGCCTGGGAAAGGGATCCACTTGAGAGCCAGAACCTTTCAGCTGCATGAAGGCGACACTGTTAAGGTATATATAAATGTGCACACAAAAGAACAGAAAAACACTCAGTCCTGTTTGGGTGCAGTAATTATTTGATCTATAACATTTGAGAAGTAGTTTAAATGTGTGTGAGAGAGAGATGCATGGATGGCTATAGACAGACAGAGAGAGAGAGAGAGAGAATCATTTTCCATGCGTGTCAGGACTTAAGCTCACAGCCAGTCTTGATGCTAGTTGGGCATTCAGTCAAAGGAATAGTGGCTGCTGTGACTTTGCCTTACCCACCATCATTTTTTAAGCAACTTGGTCTTACAGTGATAAGTAATCTTAACTGGTGTGCAAGTGAGCAGCTACCTCCATAGACACTTCATATTTGCCTTGCTGTGCTTGAGAAACAAAGGCTTCCTGCTCTTCTCCAAGGCTCCAGTGGTCAGTTTGTTTGGGTATCATGAATTTGAGGCCTAGAGGAATGGCCCATAGGTAAAGGGACCCCTGACCATTAGGTCCAGTCGTGACCAACTCTGGGGTTGTGGCGCTCATCTCACTTTATTGGCCGAGGAAGCCGGGGTACAGCTTCTTGGTCATGTGGCCACCATGACTAAGCCGCTTCTGCCGAACCAGAGCAGCGCACGGAAACACCATTTACCTTCCCGTTGGAGCGGTACCTATTTATCTACTTGCACTGTGTGCTTTCAAACTGCTAGGTTGGCAGGAGCAGGGACCGAGCAACGGGAGCTCACCCCGTCACAGGGATTCGAACCGCCGACCTTCTGATTGGCAAGTCCTAGGCTCTGTGGTTTAACCCACAGCACCACCCATGGCCCAATGGCAGGGTAGCCAGTTGCTAAACTGCATTCCAGTTAATATCACCTTCTTCACATATAACGGGGAATATGCCCAAAGGCTTTAAGTGCAGTTAACTTAAAATGCGCAGAAGTGTCAACCTGTACAGATATGGATATCATAGTGGACATAATTGAAAGTGTGACAAAAAATGCATAATGAAATTAATGCATTTGTTTTATGAGGATTACAGGGAAGCTTTTTAATTTTAGGATATTATATAGGCATATTATATATCCTACTGCTTCTAGGATAGGGTTGCCATATTCTGAAGGGCACAAACCCAGACACGCCCCCTGTCAGGACACCCCTCCACCATCCCGCATCCCTGTCGCTCACCCCCTCCCTGCCGCAAACCCCTTCCTCACCTGCCTACTCCCCGCTCCTCCCCCCCTTATCTTTCACAAGGAGGGTCCCGCTTGCTGGTGCCGGGGGTGACTCCAGGCCACTGAACAGGCTCCGCCTCTCCCTTTCAGACCTTCAGCCTCCAAGTGGCCTCCGGCAAGGTCGTATCCAAGATCATGCCTGGGTAGGTAGGCTTGTCGTCCCCTTCAACTGCTACTCAAGCTGCGTTGAAGGAGAAGGTGCAGGTAGGACCAGAGAGGCTGTGCAGCCGTGGCCACCCTTGTCCACAGCTGTCAACTTTTCCCTTTTCTTGCGAGGAATCCTATTCGGAATAAGTGCCACTGCTGCTGGGGAAGGCCCAGGCAGGACGAGAGAAGCAGTGGAGCAACGAGCCTCCCTGCTCTGGCCTGATCCTAGATACAACCTTGCTAGTGGCCACTTGGAGGCAGAAGGCCTGAAAGGGAGAGGCAGCTCTGGCACTGGCAAGTGGGAGCCTCACACAAACAGGGTCCTGACAAAATAGCATAGCCAGGAGTGGGCCATGGAAAGGGATGACCGCAGTGGTGGCACTACAGACCCTGCTGCGGCACTTCTGCTTCCAGGGTATAGCTGCAGCGCATCAAGGTGCGCAGTGGATGACTCTGAAGAGCGCCTGCCTCTCTCCCCCTTTGGCGGCATGTGTGTGCCCCTAAAAATCAATCAGTCAATCAATCAATCAATAATAAATTCCCCCAAACCCTAAACATTTCATTTAAAAATAGAAAATCCACCTGGGTGGGCATGCTTCTCCTCCAAACCAGGACATGTCTGGGAAAACCCCGGATGTATGGCAACCCTATAGGATATTATGTATGTTTTTTAAAAATATGTTGAGTATTCTGAAAAAAGGTGTTTCACAGTTTGTGTTTTTATCAGGAAAGATTGTGTTAAGAGGTGATGTAGTCAAGATACAGAAGCACATGGGGATGAAATATTGGGTGCTGTTTCTTTAATCTAGCAGAACAGGTTAGAATAAAAAAAAAAAAAAGAGGAAAAGCCGGAAGATAAAGCTGGACAAATTCAGATCTGAAGTAGCTGAACTTCGGGTCAAGCTACAAAGGCAAAATTACTTTTGCAACTTTAGGTAGGTTGAGTCTTCATAAGTCAAGGAAAGTTTCTGCCTGGGCCTTCACAATAAACTATGCTAGACCAGTTGGTGGCGTTTGCTTTCAAAACAAAGGAAACCAAAGGAAAAAAGATAAAAGAAAATCAAGGTTATACAGACTTCAGTGTGCTTCTAAACATAAGAGGAAGGTCGGTGCTATTTCTCTAGGAGAAGAGGTGTTGGAACTCATCCTTGTTCTTTTATAATAGCAGTGGCTCCCACCTGAGATGTGCCAGAACTGAGTTCTGGTGAGTTCCAGCTGGGGGGGAGGGTGGAGCCATGAGAAGGTTACAATGGAAGTAAATTAAGATTTACCCATGCATCCTCTATATCAGTGTTTCCCAACCTTTTTTTGGGCAAAGGCACACTTGTTTCATGAAAAAAATCTCGAGGCACACCACCATGCCAGATGGGGAAAGGTCACTTTTTACTTATGTAAAAAAAAAAATAAAAAAAATAGTAACAGCATAGAAGGCAATGGTTAGGCTAGCATCCCTCTTCCAAATATGCTAGGTTTTTATTTGCAGGGACTGTTCTACATGGGAAAGCATTCAGCACTGTCATTCTCCCATCTGCCATCTGAATTGGTACTATTCTGGGTCAACTTACTCTGCTGCATGTGTAGATGAAAATGGCACCAAGTGTGGGGGAGGGGGCAGAACAGGTTTCAGATACAGGATATTAAGCATACACGTACTTCAGATTGAACTGGTTGCTTGCTTTGCAAGTTTTCATTTCCCAAATGACTGCCTTGGCAAGAGCAATACCTACCAGGCTCAACGCCGGTCTCGCGCTGCCGCTTCCCGCGCTCTCAAGGACCCGGGAGGAGGAAGGCGTGAAGGGAATCCCGAAGGCGCGAAAACCTCACGCATGCGCAGGCCTTCCGCCTGCGACAGCCCAGTAGGCCGGCCGAAGTGAACGGCGATGGGATGTGGGAGGGAGCTCGCTCGCCGCCCCGCGTGTGCCTATGTGGGGCACGTTACAGCCCCATGACGTCAGCGCCACGCAGGCAGCCAGGCAGGCAGATGGCGAGAGCCCCGCGCTGGGCGGCCTCTCCTCGTCGCCGCCGCCCCGCCTCTCGCCGCCCGACTCGCCCGCCTCCCTCCAGGCAACATCTCGCGGCACACCAGGCAACGTCTCGCGGCACACTAGTGTGCCGCGGAACACCGGTTGGGAAACACTGCTCTATATTATAATAATTGGGTCTGGGGAGGAAGGAAACAAATAACCCATTAGGTCCCCATTACTTCCCTATGTGAATTTCGCCCTGCTCCCATGTAGGTTTAACGCACAAGCGGCAGCCCCAAATAAAGCTATAGTTTTCATTAAAGCCCCGAAGCTATAAAGAGGCCTGTGCCCTATGCAGAACCTTGCGTTATCTGTGGTGAAACAACAGTATCCCTGATGCTTGAAGTTTCTCTATTGCAGTGATGGCCAAACTTGGCCCTCCAGCTGTTTTGGGACCACAACTCCCATCATCCCTAGCTAACAGGACCAGTGGTCAGGGATGATGGGAATTGTAGTCCCAAAACAGCTGGAGGTCCAAGTTTGGTCATCACTGCTCTATTGCATAATACCATTTACATTTCTATGTGTTTAGACCAAGTAGTTCTACTAGCTGCAGTCAGGCCCAGTGCAGCCCTTTATGGCGTTGCCGTTAAATTTAGAATTTGACAGTTTAAAGCATGAAAGGACAGGAACTCAGAGCCTTGCTTTCTGACCTTCACTGGTTTGTGCAGAATGCTGGGGCTTTTGAGAAATGGAAAATTTGGGGTGGTTATGTTGGAAATGTTTCATTATTGAAACATCCAGGTCAATGTGAACTTGGTGCTTTTATTCAAGTTCTTGTTTGTTCCAAGAACCTTATTATTTTTTTAAAAAAAACATTTTTCCTGTGTGGTTTGAGCCATTATAAAAGCATGTCAAAAATCAACAGTATTAAAAGTGAATTTGAGTTTCCCGTGCAATATTGTGAACTGAAGATAAACCCGTGCATCCTTTGTTTGAAAACAGGAGCTCACCTCCCTCTGAAGTGGTATCAAATGTTATATTTCTTTTTTATTAAAAACGATTTGAAGACGAAAATCACCTCAGGCCCAGAATCTGAAATAAAAGGTGACAGACTAGCTTCACTTCTTCAATCCTACTTTTTAATACATTTAGTCAGGAGGGAACAGAGGGGTAGAGGTTACTTTTGCCCCCACATCCGTGTTTTCAAAAGAGGCACCTTGAGTAAAATGCCACAAACCTTTTCAGCCTTTATTAAGTGGATTATAGAGGGGGAAGGAGACATGAGGTGACAAAATGCTAAGCGATTGAGCTGTGAATAAATATTAATTTTATTCAATGTGAGCTTCACAAACCTTTAAAAAAATGACTGACAGACTAGTAGTATATTACTGTGTGCGGCTTTTTTTTCTTCTTCATATGAGCTGCATAGCCAGGATATTACAGGCAGAAGAAAGCGGTGTTATTTCCTATCTTCTTATTGGAAGTTTGGATGGTTTAATTGCATAATAATTAATTGCATAATAATTAATTGCAAACAGAAAAAGAAAAAAAGAATGCAACTTCTGCTAGGTGGAGTTCTGAAATAGATTGAAACAAATAAATATATAACTGTATTGAGCCTAATGTTTTTATGTAAAAACTAAACATTGGTTTTATTTTTAACAGGTATATGATGGAAAAGACAGCTCATCGCGTCTGTTGGGGTCCTTTACAAAAAACGAATTGATAGGACTCATTCTCAATAGCACATCTAACCACTTATGGATAGAGTTTAATTCTAACGGATCAGATACAGATCAAGGATTTCAGCTCACATATACAAGTAAGTAGCATTCATGGAAACGGGGTTTTTGTAGGGTGGGAGGAAGTAAGCATTTTACTTAGCTAACATGATGTAACACAAAGTCCTAAGGATTACTTCTTACTACCTACTGTGGTTATGAGATTGGATTTTAATTCCTTCCTCTGTTGGAAAGGAGAGAATTTTAGACATACTTCTTAAATGCAGTGTTTTCAACTTCAGCGTATTATTTTGTGAACACAGCAGTAGGTGTAAATAAAAAAGAGACTGGGATCAATAATGGACCTGGGTTGAGTATATCAGTGGCTTCTTACGGCTTGCACATTCCCAGTTGGATGTTCAGGTGATGATAGTTCCACCATTGAGGCGTTCGTGGAGCTTGTGGCTCCCGTATGTTGCTAATCTGAGCACTAATATGCAGGAAACTATAGACAGATCAAGATTCAAAGAAGCAACCTTTTACTCTATCTAGAGAAGGAAGGTTATGATGATAAAATTAACCTGAAAAGCCAAACTTGCCAGTATTGGTGGAGTTTTTTGTTTGTTAAAGAGACCCTTCCAGATCTGAATTTCATTTTTAGCCTGACCTTCCCCCAAACAGCTTGCTTAAAACACAAGTTCAAAAACACTGAAATGCAATCAGACATTTTTTTATCACATTTACAATTGAGATCACCTTTCATACTTCCTGATAGCTTTCCAAGCGGGCACCGAAATTCAGCTTACTAACTAGTATAGGAATAGCTGGAATATCCTGGAGTATACGTTATGCCTCTCTGAGAGGAGAGAGGTATAACTGCTCCTTTTTCAAACAGTTCTGATAATCATGTTGTCTTAGACTGAATGTGTACTGAAGTTGAACTGTCCGGGTGGTTTTGGAAGTACAGTTGTACCTCGGCTCCCGAATGCCTTGGGAGTCGACTTTCTGGCTCCCGAACAATCAAAAACCGGAAGAGAGTGTTCTGGTTTTCGAATGTTTTTTCAGATGCCGAACATCTGACGGGGCTTCCACAGCTTCTGATTGGCTGCAGGAGCTTCCTGCAGCCAATTGGAAGCAGCGCTTTGGACGTTGAACATTTCAGAAGTCGAATGGACTTCTGGAACAGATTCTGTTCGACTTCCAAGCTATGACTGTACACACACACACACACACACACACACACACACATATATTCTTGGATGTTTTTTATTAAAGCTTTATTTATGTATCCCCTTGTAGCTGAAGCTCTCAAGGCAACTTACACAGTAATTAAATAAAAACTGAAAACATACACAAAGAATGAAAAAGGAATCACACACAAAGCATCCTTCCAAGTATACTTTTCCCACCACAAAATTATCACAAGTTATCACATAAAACATTAAACCATTTAATGAGGAAGAAAATACATAGATTGCAATCCAAATGCTTCCCCCCCCTTTTGTTAACAACCATTGTATCTTTGGATGAAGGGCAGTATGATATTTAATAAATAATACAGTAATAGTAAATAATTGTGTGCATAAAAAAGGATTAGTCTTTTATGGTATCTTAAGTTCTGTCTACAAAATGTAAGTCATATAAAATGGAAGAACCCCCAAAAGAAAACACCAACTATGTAATCAACTGGGGCGGAAACTGAACTGAAATCAACATAATTCAAGGCATTTCATGAAAGTATGAACATTTCTATCATGAATTTATAGTTGCATAAAAGGCGCTTCAGTTTCCTCACTCTTAGAATCCCTGTGAATTGGTATTTTGTTTTTGTTGTGTGTGTGTGTTTTAAAAAAACATATTATACAAAATCATAATTCATATTTAGTTCTTTTATTGTTTCACTTTCATTCTTATTTTCAAGAGACAAAAAGTTTCAGTGTGCAAGCCAGAAAGGGGAAGCATGGATTGGTAAAGAGAAAGTCTTTGGGCCATTATTTCTTTGGATCAAAACAAGTAAAGCCTATGTTGCTTCTGCAATTGCATTTCTAAAACAAAACCCTAGATGTTTTCGCCCAATTAAAACTTGCCTTGCCGTGACACCTGTAGTTACTGCGGAGAGAATATGATATAGCCTCAGGCATCCCCACAGTTGGGCTTGGCTTTAGAGTTCTCAAACCAGCAGGAAGATTTTGTCATTGCCGTGTAAGGTGCTAATATTCTCTGCTTCCTGGCTGGTTACCCCTTAACCTTAAAAATGACATTCAGAACAAAATGAGAATGGGCTGATATGCCAGGTGGCAGGCAGGAAGACAAAGAGGCACCAAGTATGTGAGAAGAGAATAAAATCAAAATAATAGAACATATAAATTCATTTGGCCCACAGCTGGCACAATATGTGCACGCGCACAGTGCAGAACCTGGAAATAAATCCATTGTAAGCTGTGATTTATGTTTACCATTGTTGCATGTTGACAAGAGAGTTGAAATACATCTCCGTGCTTTCACATCTTTCTTTTTTCCCCTTCAGAGGACCATCCTGAACTGTTTGCTTTTTTTCAGTGTCTTCTGACCTGGAACATAACCCTCTATTCTTTGCCCTAATCTTTCACCTCTGCAGAATACATGCACTGCACAAATACAAAAATAAAAATAAAAAATGAATAGAGATTCCATTTTTCATGGAAGTGTAAAACTCTTGTTCGAAGTTGTGTCTAAAAACAACCCATCTCCTTTAACTATTTGATATAATGGTGGTTGGTGTACATGAATTCTCCTATCCAGTGAAAATAGGTAGAGGCACGGAGACCTATTTATTAAATACAAACACAGTTGTGGTTTTCGTGGAAGAAATGGCCTGCCTGCACATGCAGTAGTTATGTTCAAAGCATGGATGCTCTTGCAGCATATAATTTTGTTGTAAGCCACCATAAGGAAACATTGTATTTTCATCTGTGGCTAATAAATTTACAAAGACAACCAAACAATCAAATAAATAACAGTAGGTGCCATAAATCATGCCTGGGCCCTTAGGAAGCAGCCAGATGTTTGCCTTAAGGCTATTGATAGAAGATCAGGACTGTAAAAAAGAGTACGGTACTTTATGTTATTTTCAAAACTGCTTTTTTGGGGGGTGGGGGACAAAAAACAAAGACCCCTTAAATATACTCCCCACAGTGTCATAAATTTCTTTACTACTTTCCTTGTTAAGAGATACTGCCATTGGGTTCAGTACATTTGAGATCTTGCATAATTTATTTGGGCATGTTAATCCTGATGCTAAACTTTTGGACTCAGATCAGAGTCACTGGAACTTTAATGAGCATATCCCTACAAATGCCATCAGAAGCATTTGTATTATCATATCCTTAAGATACAATTTCAACATGAATGTAAAACAACACCTGCTTCACTAAACCCTTTGATTACCTCCATTTCTTTTCTGGACTTCAAAAGTATAAATATATCAGAAATTACATGGCAAGAAGGTTTACACAGAACAAAAATGTACCACTAATTTGCATTGACAGAGCTTTTTCAATCAATTTAGAGTAATGGGGAAAAGTTTGTGGTGGGTACGCCACCCCTAACTTAGGAACATTCAGTACCCTGTATGAAGAGAGCCATTATATCGTTACAAGTTTGTGGGTGCTAGACATCCTAAATTATTAGTTCCAGTAGGTGTGACAATTCAATTAAGGCTTGGAGTGTCAAAAGCTAGCTAAGCTAGGCTGGTCTCCTGTGTGTAGTGATAGCTAGATCCTGTGTATTAGGCTGATGTGTATTAAACCAGTACGTGTGTGCTGGATTATGTGCTAGACAATGCTAAACCTATGGAATCAGCATGTGTTAAAGGCTAATTAAGCCATGCTGTGTAAAATTAGCCTAGGGATGGGCCATCAAGAAGAACACAAAGCATCAAAGGGAACTGTGTGAGAAGGCGAAGGTGTGGGTCACCCTTCGCTCTAAAGATGAAGGAAAAGATTAGAGAATCTTAGGGCTAGGAGTGATGTAATGTAGGAGTAAGTAGTGAGATAGAAAGAGAGTCAGAAAGCACAATGCTGGTGTCTGAATGGAGGGCTGCAGCTGTGGGGCAAGCAATACCCTCTTGGAGTGTTAAAGCGGGGAGCCCTTCCATCATAGACTCAGGTGGTATATATGTGTAAATAATCTATACATCATAAAGATACTGCAGTCTCCACTGTGCCTCATTTCCAAAAGGAAACATTGACCCTGAATAAGTGTGCCTGGAACCCCTATAATCATGCACCGCTCAGAGATTGGGGTGGAGTGTAATAATATGCATAGTTCTCCCAATGAGTTTGTCTAGCTTCTTCTTTTGCATAACTGGCCTCTTCACCCAGGCTATTGCATACACATGGGTGGTTGGAGGGAGATCTGTTGTTGTTGGTTCTGCTTTCCTTTCTGCACACATATGTTCAGACACCTGGAATTGGTTGCCTGAAAAGAGCTTAAAGGTAAAGGTAAAAGCACCCCTGACCATTAGGCCCAGTTGTGGCCGACTCTGGAGTTGCGACGCTCATCTCGCTTTATTGGCCGAGGGAGCTGCATACAGCTTCTGGGTCATGTGGCCAGCATGACTAAGCCGCTTCTGGTGAACCAGAGCAGCGCACGGAAACGCCGTTTACCTTCCCACTGGAGCGGTACCTATTTATCTACTTGCACTTTGACGTGCTTAGATTTTCCTTAATCTCATTCAGAAATGTCAGGAATTTTGAAATGGTTACAACTTCAGCTGATCCAGGGGCAGGAGTGTGTGTCCTGCTACCCTGTGCTAATGTGATGTCCTGTTAAGGCAAGTAAGAGTAGCCAGAGATATAGAAGCCTAATCAATCATTACTACCTTCCGTGATTAACTCTGTGCGAAATGCAGAGCACTGCTGTGCTTTACTGCCCCTGTTCATGTCATCACATCCTTGATGGACCCGTCTACAAACTTTCCTTGCATGGTAGTCAACATTCTGAAGCTGGGATCCTGATCTATATGCATAGTAGTATCTGCACAAATTTAGAATGCTGTGCAGTCAATCAAACAAGTAGTGGGGGGGAAATGGTAGAATGACATGTAATGTTGAAAAGTTGT